AACTTGCACATTTCACAAATTGTTACACGTACTTATTTTTAATCCAAATATGATTCAGCAAATTTGATAGCAGAAACACTTGAATTTTTAAATGATTTGCTGAATACCAAACTGGCTGGAACCAACATAATGGTTTTCTTGTAAATTTTGTTGAAACAAAAACACAATATTTGGATCAATTGCTTGCAAAATATACAGAAATTCAAGATGTCTAAAAATACTGCATTAATTTATCGATCTTGAGATATCTGATGATTCAGAACAATCAGAAATTTGAAGCAAAACACCATCCAATAACAACTAATTTATAGATGATCTTCCAATTTTTTATTATTTATATGACCCATCTTTAATATAGATCCGTGGTGATCAAAAACCATAATTTATATTATTTTATCCTCCTGAACCTTTTACTTAATATCTCCTGAACTTTGTTCACCAAAAACCACAAATTTGAAAAAAATCAGTTTTGGTTAACACAATATATACAATGACGTCAAGTCATTTCATAGCAATTGACACTACATTAATTGGGGTCACCAATTATGAATGATTTCTCTAGAATGCCAATTTGATTTTCTGGAAGGGTCAATTTATTGAAGATAAATTAATAGTTTTGTGATCCAAAAATACTGCACAATTGTATTGATAATCGTCTGATTTTCAACTACAAATCTATATAATATCAGCTGATTTATTGATGATCTTTTGATATTTTTAGTGTACTGTTTTTAATTTTGATCACTTGCATTCAATTTCTTGAACCTGATTGTTTACAAATAGATCATAAATAGTGATAATGGTAATTTTTCCTGAATTTGCTTATAATTTGAAGAAAAATCACTTAGTTAACATAATTTATATAAATAGGTCTATAGTCACTTCTAGACAGGAACAACTACTGCAATTTGGGTAATCTTTTGAATTTTGTCACATTGTTCGGCAAAAATTTAACCAAAACGTGCAATTTTGGTAAAATTCTTTTGTTCCCGAATTCATTCTCTTGTTCCCGAAATTTGAAGAAACTGGTAATACTTATAAAAAAGTCAAAACAAGCACCTCTAGTACAATTTGGTTGACCTCTTAAATTTTGGTAAAAATCACTTCAAATCAATCCAAAACAAATAAAAAAATCTGTATTCACTTCTAAACAAGTATCACTACAATTTGGGCAACCTCCTGAATTTCATCACCTTGTTTAATAAAAATTCAACCAAACGTACAATTTTGGTAAAAATCTCTTGCTATTTGAAGAAACTGGTAATACTTTTCAAAAAGTCTGAGAAAGCACCTATAGTATAATTTGGGTAACCTTCAAAATTTTGGTAAAAATCACTCCAAACCAATCCAAAACTATGCAAAAAAATAGCAAAAGTCTGTAGTCACTTCTAAACAAGTATCACTACTACAATTCTGGTAACCTCCTGAATTTTACACCTTATTGGACATAAAAATTCAACCAAAACGTACAATTTTGGTAAAAGTCACTCCAAATCAATTCAAAACTATTTCACAAATAAAAAAAGTTTATAGTCACTTCTGAACAAGTATCACTACTACAATCCATGTAACCTCCTGAATTTCATCACCTTGTTTGGCAAAAATTTACCCAAAACGTACAATATTAGTAAAAATCCAGTTCTGGTACAATTTAGATGACTTCCTAAATTTTGTCACAGTGTTTGTCAAAAATTTAATCAAAATTTACAATTTTGTTAAAAATCACTCCAAATCAATCCAAAACTATCGCACAAATTAAAATGTCTGTATTCACTTCTAAACAAGTATTCTGGTAACCTCCTGAATTTCATCACCTTGTTTCACAAAAATTTAACCAAAACGCACAATTTTGGCACCAATCACTTGAAATTTTACCCAAACGCTAGCACAAACATCTTTCAACATATCTGTGACAAAAACAATCACATCCTCCAACAATTTTAAAAATCTAGGTCAAACGCCCTGCATCTACCCGTTCACCATTCTTGGTTATTTAATTTTTTTCATTTATCTTTAACACATGTTGCGTTTGCAAAATACGACATTCGATTGAACAATTAACAATGAATTCATCGTCGATAAACAATAAGATTTAAAATTCTAAATCAGTATTATATATTATTTATTTATTCTACGGTCGGTCTGAAGTCCAATCGAATCGTTACTGAGGCGATTATATTATTTCTGTGGCGGCTGCGGCTTTCTTTTCTCTCGCCACTTTCGCTTTGAGAAGGAAAATGAAGAAAACGTTTGAGACAAGAAGAGGACGACGATTGAGGAATAGATAGAGAGCTGGTAATAAAAGACAAAGAGAAACTAGTGGTGTGTGGCATCGTGCCTTAAAACAAATTGCTGGAACTTTCCGTACCGTAACGAAATGATCGAGGAATATTGAATGTTTTCGAATAGATTATTAACCAGTGTTACATGGCATCGTGCCTTAAGGCAAATTGCTGGAACTTCCCGTACCGTAATGAAATAATCGAGGAGTATTAAATGTTTTCAAATTATGGAGCAAATTTGCTCCAAGTTAGATTATAGTGTGCCATGATTCTGGTAATATAGAAAAACAAAAGAATGTATAAATATAATCTCCTATATTATTATAGATCGATGTCTAATAAATCATCGTAAAATTACTTAGTATTTATTTTTAATTAAATATACATTTAGTTATTTATGGAATACGCTCCATAAAATGGTCCTTTTAACTAGCTGGTAAAAAAAAAAACAAAGAGAAACTAATGCGGCATACATCATCACGTCATAGTTCATTTATGTTATTATTTTTGTATTACTATTTTTATTTATTTTTATTTTTATTTTTAACTTCTTTAATTTTTTTGTATTATTTCTTTTTGTACCTAT